GCTGCACATACCCAGCAAAAAATGACCCATGTACCCCCCCTGGGGCTTCCATCACATACTCAAGTACTATAATTTCTTTTCTTGCAATGGTTCTACTTTCTATCTTTTTTTTTAACACCTTAGTTTACTGATAGCAACTTTACAAGTATCTCTCTCTTTAATACTTTATGCACGAGTTGGCCACAGACGCCCTTTGATTACTTAGTTCATCGCTAACATGCATGTAGGTCATGTATGCTAAACCTGCGTAAACTAATATCAGTTCATTAACACTTCCTTTTTTCGTTATTAGAGTTATGGACTGAATCTGAACCAGTTCGACTATAGAATTGAAATCTTCCCTTCCATTTTAGATGACTCGTTTTTTACAAGTAGCAGGTATAAATTAAAGAGTTATCGGATTGAGGACCAGAAATTATCATGGAGAGAAATAAAGCAATTACCGTGCAGTTCATTTTGGCATCAACAGCATTTTCATTTTTATTCTCATTAAAACAATGACTTACTTGATTAACAAAACAAACACACGTATGCATGTAATGAACTTGTCAACGAACCAATCATTGCATTCGCCGTGTCGATACCAAAGTGTGAACTTTTTATTCTGTTTGTTTGGTTCCTAATAAATCATTTAACGCGTTTAATTTTGCATTTCTCTTGTCAGGAAACAGTTTCTTTTCTCTTTTGGAAGGTTAGGCTTCGTTGTAGCGCTTATGAAATTAAGGGTTATCAGTTGGGAAACTTTAACAAGTCGTGGAGTCGAAATTACAGAGCGCAAGTGAAAAAAAAGTTTCAGTTTTAAAAAAAATATACTCATGACTTTTTTTCAAAAATTTTCTAACTTTCGAGTAATAATTTCACCTGCTAACGTTATCGTAATTACGTGTGTCCTTTCGAAACATGTAATGAATATATGGAAAAGATTTGAATCGTAAAACACAGTCGCAGGTGGCGAGAAACAAACTGAGAGATCAAGCTCGGCTAAGCGGAGAAACGAAGAAATTAATCATTCAATTGGACATGAAGTTTCTGAGGTCTGTGTACAGTTTCATTTGAATTATGTTTCTTGACATTTTGTATTTCTCTGGAGTATTCGCAATCCTCACGCAACTAAATATAGCTCAATACATAAGTTTGAAAGGTTCTCTCGACGATGGCTATAGTGGAGTATTTGTTTACGGCAACTGTTTTCCATTTTTAAACCACAAACTTAATACAACACCGTTCGAATCCCGTGCCGTAGTTGCTACAGAGGATTGTATAGAGGCATGCACCGTCAGTCATCGATGCCGCTCGATAAATTTCAAAGCTGTTCCTGAAAAAGATAAGAAATTTATATGCCAACTCCTGGAATCAGACAAGTTCAACTCGACTGATTTGTTCGCTGCAAGTTTGGATTTTCATCACTACAGCTTCGTGGTAAGAATTTGTTACTTTATTCTTTATTTATCGTTCAGTGGCAGAAGGCAAAAGGCCACTGACAGACCCGAGGGTTAGATATTTCATTTTGCAGCTAAACAGAAAAGCATCCAAACTAAAAACAAGAGGAAAAAGATTTTCACGTAACTGGTGAAAATCTAGTAACAAACTGTCTGATAAAAAAATAAAGTACGCAGAGAGAGGTTAGAGACACATCGAAATTTTTTTTCCGATCAGTCACGTACTTTTTCGCGTCGCTTCGGCCAAGGTCCCTCAGCGCTACTAAGAAGAAAAGGACTATTCTTTAATACTTAATGCGAGAAGTTGAGCCGGAACAAGAGACCATTTCTTGCTACGCTGCACAAGTACTGAGCCTGTCATGATCAAACCCATCCAAAGATTGCCAATTATTTTTTTTCGAAAAATTGTTCGTGGTTCACGATTTTTAGCACCTTACTCTCTTCAGGCATTATCGCTGTAATTTTAAAAAATACCATTTTCTATCGAAAAGTAAATAATAAAATTAACATAATGTACTTGCTCCTAAGAAACCCATTAATGTAATACATTTTATCATAATTAATCTCGACTTTCATTTCGTTGTCATTTCGAGTTAATTTAGTTTTGTAATATGTCAACATTGTACACGCACAATGTTTTGTAGACAATTGCGAAGTTTTTTAGTGGATCGGAAAGTTTTTACAATAAAATCAATTCCTTACTTGAAGAAATGAGTCCATCAGAACCGAAACCCTGAGTTCAGTCTAAAGCCCACGATATCCTCTCACCTAAAATAAGGTAATCTTGATATCGTCATTATCATTGGAATAGAAGAATTCTCAATGTTTTTTGGAATTTTAGCTTTTTTCTTTACTTTTTGAAATATTGAGCTGTTCTCTGCAGTCAGTGAGAAATTGGACATGAAGGAGCTTTAGCAGACTTGTAAACATTACAGATCTCACGCCAACATGCGAGATCCCTACTTTTATTTGCTTTCGTGCGCCTTATTAATTAAACATGAATTTAATTGTTATTCATCGTGTGCTCCTTCATAAAAACCCAGGTCAGAAGATCCTCACATGTGGAAAAAAGTGTAGGCCTTTGATGAGTTTTCATATGAATGGTTTTTTAAACTTTCTTGCCTTATATTTGTCAGTAATTTCATCATTTGTTATCGAAGACTTTCCAAGTAAAGTAAATTGCTATCATTCATACTCGTTTTAGGCCCCTTGTGAGCGCAATCCATGTAAGAACGGAGGGACCTGCGTACCAGATCACCAGAAGTACGAATACAAGTGCGCCTGCGTCAGAAGCACAAAGGGAAGCCATTGCGATAAGTGTAATGTTTTATGCCTTTTCTTGAAGATTATCTCAATGATAGACTACTTTATGTTAGACTGACTTGAATATTTTCCTCTCTAATAAGGCAATATTGAATTAATTGAATGTGCACAATTCCTGATGTAAATATCTGTGGGAACAGCTGATCGTTTTTACTGATTTTTCAGCCAAAAGCAGTCTTATAATGACTGTTGTGGGTAGAATTCACAGAGGATTCGGCAACCTAAGCGGAAAATATAATCAGATTCAGAATCCTTCTCTCCCTGACATTGAAGCAAAACTGACTTTAAACGAATTTCGTCGTTCAAAAAAATGCAGCAACTGACGTTGTCTAAAATGTACAAAGAACTCTTTCATCCTGAAATCAAGAATTGTTCTTAGCGTTAAAAATTTTTTCAGACGTAAGTCTTCTTTTGTTAATCAGTTTACCAGAGTTGTGCCGAGCTGCGCGATGTTGGAGTGACCGAAAGTGGGATATACATGATTCAAGATCAACATAGCGACAGCGGGTTTTATGTTTATTGTGATCAAGAACACATCGAGGGAGGTAAATAAGATAAGCTTAAAAGAAAATTAGGAAAACTGGTTACACTACATCAAGTTTAAGCTTTTAGAAAAATTCGCAAAAAAAGGTAAAGAATGCAAAAAAGCATTTTTCGTAGTTTGATTTGTTCCGTTTAAGTATTTCTGTTTATTTCAAATTTTATAAATCGGTTACAATCCGACTTTTCGTGTCAGGCAAGAGACTCATCACATATTTTTCGGAATTTTAATGCAAACTCGATGAGCATCACTTTCAAAGTCATGTTCGCGCAGTGTAAGATGTTAGCAGTCTAGCATTTATCGCAAAAGGATTACCAACCACGCGTCAAGAGTTGATTCCAGAAGTAGATTTTTAGATTGATTAAGAGAGGCTGAATAGGCACTCTATCCAGTTTACTTCTGGTTCACAATTTGTCAACAAGGGTTACTGGTTGTACCATACCAAATATTAGGTTAGTTTGGGATTTACAAACAGCTTGACCCGGGAAATCAGTCTCTTCTAACTCTTAAAACAATTTCTTTTGATCTATTTCCTTTTCCAAGAATACTACCATCGCGAAAAAGTTGTCCCACCCAAGAATTTTCACCTCGGCTTGACACTTGCGAATTCGTAAATACGAAGAAAACCCTAAAAGAAAACGAACGTAGGGTAATTGCCCTAAAGAATTCAAACCATAGTAATATGCTAAGGTTTATATTGTGTGATAAACGTAGTTCTAACTCTGTACATCGAAAATTAAATAATACAAAATGACATATGTACCTTAACTTTGCATGCATGCATTTTGCATTCAAAACGATAGTCATATCTCTCTCTCCCATTTTTCATTTTTATTTGTCTCTCTCCTTGCTAATTATTTGGTAAAACCAGGATGGACCATGGTATTCAAAGCGGTGTCTGGTATAGGATCTGATGTTTATCAATTGTGGTCCGCCTCAAACGGTTTATTCGAAGAGAAAATTGAAGCCCTGAACGTAAACTCGTCGTTCAGAAATCATTACAAGAACCGCCTGGTGAACAGATGGCAAACTGTTGCTCCTAAGGAGGTAGGTTAGACTGTGTCTTGACTAAATGTGTGTGTTGGGGGCGTGGGTTGACCAATGTCATGTAAACTTATATGAACTTTAAAAAAGTTCTTAAATTTCTTATGATTAAGTTCCACAATCACTCTTTTAATACGCCCGTCCATCGGTCGGTCAGTGAGCCAGTGAGCCAATGAGCCAGTCAGCCGGTGAGCCAGTGAGCCAGTGAGCCAGTGAGCCGGTGAGCCAGTGAGCCAGTGGATCAGTTAGTCAGTCAGTCAGAATGTCACAGTAAGCTGGTCGGCTAACAATGGATCGCTCAATTTAATGATTTATCCCATCATTACAAGCATCATTGTGTCATTAATTTCCTTAGGCTCGCGTAGCTCTTTACAAAGATGGAAGTGAACTGTTCTCCATTGTCTTTAACGCCTCAAAGAGCAACAATGAAAACTGGTTTACAAAAAATAGAGTCATTTCTTCACCATGGACTGACTTGAAGAGCAATCTGCCTACTTACTTTTCTATTCCTGGGGCCGATGGACGACGATTTTATGTCCATGGGCCCCACCCTGGGTGTGATGGAGACTATGGATGGCTCTCTATTACCCAGTACCACTGCACATACGAGACAAGCCTCCCGAGCACATCTTTCATATACAGCAGACTTCAAACCAAAACCAACTGGAATGTTCAGGGTAAGAAAATGCAGTGAAATTGCACCATAACGAACTGAACGTCAGTAGCCATGTAGAACTTAGTAAATTTCACAAGGAGCTGAGGAGAACTCACTGAGTTAAAAACATGCAAGGAAACTGCGTGAAGGGCGGTAAAATTGACGCAAGTGATCAGGTCACTGCTGATTTCAAGTTTTAATCTGATTGGTTGATAGGGTGGCACGATTATTCTAAACCAATCATCGAACGATAAGAAGCAAAGCACATACAATCCCAGACTACTTTCGATATTCATTTCACAAGCGTCGAATTTCGTTCCCCCAAAAGACAATCAGGGTGTTGTATCTCTTCTTTGTTTACCTTTCAATTTCCTTATTCTGTTTTGCTTTAGAAAATGTTGGCGTCGCAGATGTCTTAGTGGTGTATATTCGCTGAGGTAAATTAGAACTTCAAGACACTGTTTTAATTAAAACTCATCAAAACTTCTTGTCAGTGATACGTGAGACATAATTTCTCGTGGATGCTCTTTTCACCATTTCACCCGAAGATCTGTCAAAAATTCACCCCACTGTTAGCGTTACATTTTTATGGTTCTATTCCAGAGAATTTGGTGTTTAGTCTAATCATAAACCTAACTTTTTAGCTTTTGTTATTCTCATGGCTTATCTGCTTTGGACTTCATTGATCACATTAGAAGAAAACACTCATCAAACACTCGTGGAATTTAAGGAGCGCAATGATTCTGTTTGATCAGTTTGAAACTTCCATTTGACTGTGTGTCTATTACATTTTTCAGGCGTTGACGACTATTGGCCTATCTGA